CAGACAGCAGGGCAGCAATTTAAAGAAACAAGTCGGCATGTACGGCTCCTCCGGGAAGAAGGGGGTGAATCCTTTGTTTGGTTGTGAATGACACTGCAGTATCCCCGCTACTACCTTTCCCCTCTTGAGCTATTGAAGAGAGGCCAAGTTCAGCAGCAGCCCCCAAAAGCCCTTGCGTGCACTTTTATTCTGTAATTATGCTGCAGGTGGAATTTCGATGGCATCTTTATTGCGCTTGAAATGTGTCCTCCTGGTTCTGGGGGAACAGCATTTGTGCAACTGTGCTCCTCCGTGCCATTACAAATAGCCATTGGGCATCGATCTCAGACCGCCTCGCTCCGTCCTGCTCCATAAAACCTGGGCCCGACCTGCCTTGCGGGTGCCAGCTCCATGCACATGATCCAAGAAGTTAACTGATCCCCCTAATAGTGAATAATTTATCTCCCCATTAGGCAGTAATAAAGTGGCACACTTCACAGAGCACTGCGGTGAGAATCATTTGCTTTTCCTAGTTTGGTTACAGGCGGCTGCCTGGCCCCCACTATTTTTTTATATTTAAAATTTGATTATTAAAAATATTTTCCCCTGTTCACCAGAAGCCAACATAATGGCTCTTTCATTGCGAGCAGTGTGCGCTCCCTCCACTTCTCAAACAATCTGTCCCGTTCTGGTTTTGCTGAACGCTACATAGCAGTTATGCTGCAGCCTCCCAGGTGGCTTTCTTCCCTGCCTTTCCCTGCCCCCGCCTCCTCTGCAGGAAGTACCATCAAATGCATTTGCTCATTTTTTTGTAAATTGTTTCATTTCAGAGGTTTACAAATGAGGACCACCTGGCAGTTCATAAACACAAGCATGAGATGACATTGAAATTTGGTCCTTCCCGAACCGATTCAGTCATCATAGCAGGTATGTGCTTCTCAATCCAGGTCAGCTTGAAAATGGTGCACATTAATATAGCCAGACTGTAAGATTAATACTAGGGACCAGATGTACTGAAAAATGTCTCTACCTCCCATAAAAAGCTCTTGTGATCTGCATTTAATCAGGGGGAAAGGAAAGCCAGAGGCTGCTTCCAAGTTTCTACTTTTCATTTTTTATGGTAGTATCAGGTTTTGCAGGGTTTTTTATATCTATATACTCACCCTTTTTATTAAGACTCGGGAAGATTTACAGACAAAAGGTCTTTCACATTTCTTCGTGCACTTTGAGGATGATGAACAAAAGCTGACAAACCCAGTTTCCTTTCCTCAGCCCAGGTGTCAATTTCCTTGAGCTTTTAGGCTGGCAGTTAATAAATTAAAACTCCATCTAGCGCACTGGCTACTGCCGAGAGTGCATTTAGGAAGCCCGAATGAGTTGCTCTGGAATTACTCTGCCCGGTCAATGCAGCTTTTATAAGATTTGAGGAAAATGGACGTGGCTGTCTGGCAGCGGATCATTGCCATTTATGGATATTCCCCCACCCTGTCAATCCTCTGCATTTTGCTTTCTTAAAAGGGGGTAAGGACTGTGTCACCCACTGAATGAAACGGCTGTTGCTATATTGAAAACAAGACGAGAGGAGGAAATCTCTCTCTCTCTCTCGCTCTCTCTTTAATGTATTTCAGAGAGTTCATGTAAGAGCCCAGTTTAATCTCTCCTGGGGGGGGCGGGGGAGTTCACTAAAGGGACAAATGCTGTACCACCAGATTGGTGCTGATACAAGCTGCAACTCAATCCGCTTCTTACAGCTCTGAGATTCATCACTACGTGGAGGGGGGAGGGGGAACCTTTACAGAACTTTTCCCCAGCTAGATAAATTCAGTAGAGGCAGAAAATACTTCCTAGTGGGGGAAATATTGGTTATGGAATAATCTCCACAGAGAAGCACTGGAGTAATGGCAAATCAGATGGTGCAAACCCCTAGCCAGGAAATGCTGGAATGAATCAGGGATGTAAAATCCCTTTTAATCAGTTAACTGGTTAAATGTTATGGTTAACTAGTTGACAGCTTACACAGATGGGGAGACTGGCAGGGGGCTGGGCGGGAGCAAAGGTGATGCTGACTGGTTTACCATTCACATCCCTAGGATGAAAATTGAAAATACTTGAGTAGAAGGGGGGGGTATTCCTTTCATTGGTGATGTTGTAGTTGGAGGCTGTGGGAAACTGCATGGTACCCCAAGAATGTTCTTTGTCCAATGCTGTGGGCTGTGGATGGCTGGTTGTAGTCTTCATTTCAGAACTCAGAACCTGGCCAATCAGTGTGGAGCTTGCAAATCAATAATGATCTATTGTTTTACTTTTCACGGCTCTGACCGAGACCCATCTAACATCTAGAAATAAGCAGGTGCTAGGATGGGATTCTATCACTGTTAGCGGTGTTCATGATATGAGATGTATCTTGTTCCTTGGGTGAACGGCAAGGCTGTGTTCTCACCCGTGCTGTGCCATGTTTTATTGCAATTATAATAGTTTTCTCGCCCTTTTCAAGAATTGAAGAAAAATAGCATTACAAACAGCTACACCACACCTGACTGCCTGAGATTCATATTGGCATACAGCTCTTTCGGTCTTGCAGTCTGTGGATTAGAGCTGTAGAATTGCTTGTCTACACAAGTTAAGTCTTCTCTTCACTGCTTAACACAAGGCGTGTCTGTTGTTTTTTTGGTGAACCTTGGAGTACCTAAAGTCTGAGCTGCCCCAACGTAAAAACACAGTGAGACAAGGCAGTGTTAGTTTTTACTTCAAGGTAAAGTAAGTGAGAGCAGCAATCTACTCATCTCTGGGGTTGTCTTGTTTACCTTGCTGTATAAATGAAGTACTGGTTTTCACTATGTTTCCCACAGCCCAGTGTGTTAGTTACACTGCAGTAAAACACCAAAAACCCAACACATCCTTTTTTTCCAGTGAGAACTGGATCTAAAACATGCAGGAAAGACTGAATCCTCTCTTACCACTGCATGGATACCGCTGCGTTGCAAACCGGTCCAGCCGACTTTTCTGTTTTGATAAGGATGAACTATTGAAGGTCGTTAAGAATTCCAAAAGAGCGTGTTGGTTATGAGCGGCTGGATCAAAGTTGCGTTTGCATTTGCAACTCCTCTCTAGGACCAGCAGCATTATCAACATTTCCGTCGCCTCCTTTTCTTGTTGCTAGCCCCTGTTTTTGTGTTGTGTTGCGTTCATACAAGCTGGCCTACCTTGAAGGCAGGTGGTTCTCGTGATTCCTCTTGCAGCTGCAGTAAAGCAGAAAAGGGCTGTCTTCCCTAAACTTCCATCATGAACACGCGAACAGCTCTTCTGCCTGATGGATTCAAACAAGGGGTGTTTACTTGTTTAACCCATCAAAGGGGATGCTGGAATGGGCTGCTCCAGCCCGACCAGAGCAGTCCCTGCCTGGGGAGGGTGGGCGGTGGAGCTGGCAGGGGCTGGGGGGGGGGCTGCGTCCCTGCCTGGGGAGGGTGGCCGGTGGAGCCGGCAGCGGCTGGGGTGGGGCCTGCTGCCGGGTACCAGTTACCATTCCCCCTTCGCTTCTCTAATTCAAACCGAGTAATAAGCTAGTGACGGGCACCTGTTAATAACTGAACTACTGGCTAACATCCCAAGCACTGGCCGGGTGAGCTGTTCTGGATGTTCAGGAGGCTTTCTCTGTGCTTCGATTTCTTCATCTCTAAAATGGGGACGATGCCCAGCTCCCAGGAGTAGCTGAGGGTTCCTTAGCACGCGCCGGGTTACTCGGAAATCCTTGGACTGGAAGGCCATATGGAAGTGCAAATTGCCCCTGCCCACACCTTCGTGTACTATAGTCATCTCTCTGCAAGCCCAGAATGGCCAGTTTGCTCCAATATTAAGCCAGCTGGCCCTGGGCCATGGAGCACGATTCAGCTTAGAACTGAAACTGTCTACACAGCAGAAAGTTAGAGACTTGCCCGCGTTCGCTCAGCAAGTCAGTAGCCGGGCAGTTCCTTTAAACCTCAAAATACCACAGGGAAAATTCCCCTTGTTCAGACTCCCTGGTTTTTTTAAAATCTACTGTCTTGAGGACACGCACAAAATGTTCTGCCTCCTTTCAGCAGCAGATTGGGAGCGGGTACCATCCCCGAGTTGTACTGGCGCCAGGTAAGCCCTGGTTTGAAATAGGGAAGGAACTACAACACCTTTTCAGTTGTGGTGATTTCAGTGCGATTTGAAATTAGGGGTGTCAATGGTAACCAGTGATCAGCTTACCGGGCGCTGCTCACCGGTTATGGTTACTGGCAGGGGCTGTAGTAGCCCCCAGTCCATGGTGGGCAGTGGACTGCATCCCACCCAGCGTGCTGCAGGCAGCCAGGCTGGAGTGCCCCCCCCTCCACTCCCGCTTAATTGATCAACTGGTTAACTAGTTAAGCTGGATTTGACATCCCTATTTGAAATACGTTAGTTTTGTTAATTCCACAACGCTTGCCAAAGGGACAGAAGGGCAGGAAAGCATTGTTGCTTGCTGTGTGAACACCAACAGAAATCCTCGAGGAGAAACATCCAGGCTTCCTTTAACACAACTGAATCCTAATGCTGGGGGTACGCTGGGAGGAAATATTCCTGTTGTCTTGTCCTGCGTAGCTACAGTTCATTCTGTGACCTCACGTGGATTCGTTTGTTTGTTGTGTTGCGCCCTGAACAGATCAGACTCCGACTCCGACCCGCTTTTTGAAGAACTGCGAGGAGGTGGGGCTCTTCAACGAATTGGCCAGCTCCTTCGAGCACGAATTCAAGAAAGCCACCGAGGAGGATGAGAAAAAGGCAAGCAGCAGAGGCTCCCCTGCCAGCAAAGCGGAAGCATTCGAGGATTGGTGGGGCTGTAGGGGGACTGGTGAACAGCGCGTATTGTTGTATAACTAAGTGGAGGTGTTGCCTAGATTCAATGTGCTCGATCCCATAATATTTTCTGTGGTAGCTTGTGTGGCTGTGGCTGTGTTGCACTGAGTCCCAGTTGGATCTGATTTTAATAACCTCTTATTAGTACAGGCCCTTTATTTTTTTAAAGGGAGCACCCACAGTATCTGATCTCCCAGGGCTTGGCAGAGGAATGTCTGAAGTCCCACACGGACTGGGATCCAAATCCCGCAGGACATCTCTTCCTTGGCTTTAGGGTCATTAAAGAGCAATCCCCAGAGCCAAGTTTTCATGGCATGGTTGGGCACGTTAATAACCTCTTATTAGTACAGGCCCTTTATTTTTTTAAAGGGAGCACCCACAGTATCTGATCTCCCAGGGCTTGGCAGAGGAATGTCTGAAGTCCCACACGGACTGGGATCCAAATCCCGCAGGACATCTCTTCCTTGGCTTTAGGGTCATTAAAGAGCAATCCCCAGAGCCAAGTTTTCATGGCATGGTTGGGCACGCTC